CAGGAATGCATGTGTCACTGCAAATACGTGGAGGTCAGAGAACAACTACTTTTGGGAGTCAGTTCTCTTCTTACATCATGGGTTCTGGGGGATTGAATTTAGGTCATCAAGCTTGTACAGCAAGCACTTTCATAAACTGAGCAATCTCTCTGGCCCACTTTATAAGATTTAAATATGAAGCTATAAAAATGTAGAGTGAGGCATGATAGTTCACAAACTGTGAGGCTGAGACAGTGAGGATCACAGAAAGTTGCAAGCAGTTACCTTGGGCTACAATGTGATACTGTCTCTAAACAAACCAACAACAACAACAACAACAACAAAAAAGCAGCAAAAAGCTCTTAAGAAATAAGTCTATCTCAAAAATTAGAGGTTTTTAAATTTAATATTTTTATTTATGTGTGTATATATGTGTCTATATGAGTTTATGTGCACTGCATATACGTAGGTGCCAGGCATCGGATCCCCTGAAACTAGAGTTACAGGCAGCTATGAAAAACCTGATGTGGGTGCTAGGAACTGAATCTTGGTCCTCTGTAAGGGCAGTAATTGCTCGTAACTTATGAGCCATCTTTTCAGTCCCAAATTAGAGTTTCACTAATAATAGCTCTAAAACCAAAAATACTACTTTAGGATTACAAGTTGCTATCTTCTTCCAAAAGTCCATAAATTAAAGCATTACCTGTATTTAATTTAGAATTGGGTTAAAAATATAACCAAACATCAATTAATAATTCTCAGAGACTGGGCCTAGAGGGACACCTCAGTTGGTAAATTACTTGCTCCATAAGCACAAGGACTTGAGTTTGATCCCCAAAACTCATAGGGTTTTTTGGTTTTATTTTTGTCTTTTTGCTTTGTTGTTTGTTATTTAAAGCTAGGTGTGGTAGTATACACTTGTAATACCATGTAATCCTAGCACTGGTGAGATAAGAGACTGGCAGATCCCTGAAGCTGGATGACCAGGCAGCCTAGGCTACTAGGCAAGTTCCAGGCCAGTGAATGACCCTGTCTTAAAAAACAAGGTAGATGGCATCTGCAAAGGGACAATACCCAAGAGTGTTCTCTGGGCCTCCAGATGCATGTGTACCTGCACACACAAGAAAACACATATATATTCACATATACAATAGAAACAATGATAATGTCAATAATTCTCAAATAAATGCATGACTTTTTTCCCAAAAATTTCGAAGTACTATTAAATTACCATGCAAGCCTCCATTAAGGCAGTATGCATCTCATCGGTTTTGTGCTCTTGATCGGCACCAGCTTCAAGCAGAAAGCGAACCATATCCAAATGGCCTTGAAAATAAGGTTAAAGAATTGACTATCAACTAAATGCATGAATATTAGAATGAAGTCTTTTATTTTCAGATATCTGTATATACAATTTAAAGATTTATTTGAATTGAATAAATCAATGATGGTTTTACAAAGCCAACTAAAAACAAAGCAGGCACTCTCTCAATAAGGTCTTACTATTTAAGTTTAAAAACCTGTCTTGATCTAAAGCACATAATTCTTTTTAAGTAAGCAATCATGCTTTTTTTAAAATCTATATAAACTATCAAAACACTGGAATCAAATAAAAAGCTAGGTAAAGTATCTTTAGATCAAATTTTCTAGAAAAACAGCTTTAAAATTACCATTAACTCACTGTGGCAA